TGCTTCTACCCCGGGTATCACACCCTTGAAAGTGGTGTTGCTGGGCTTCATACTAGATGGGTCGATGCCATCTTACTGATTATGCCAGCATTGATCAGGTTTAGACTCGTCTATTAGGACTCGAGTTAAGTGAAACCCATCGTTAATGGGGTTGAGGACCAAAGCTGCCAGCCCTCCGTGACGGATACTAGTCGGGTGGTCACTTTTATCAAAAGTTATTAGGCAAGCCGACCACAGGTTATACTTCAGGGCTACATGCTCTAAGGCGTAGACGTCATGAAGTGCTTGTTTCCTTTCCTTCTTGGGGATGTGGGTGACATAAATCATATTCACATCATTTACGTTGAAAGGGAATTGCTTCTGGCCCCTATTGTTGGGCCTCCGACCATCATCCTTGTCTTCGCTGCGGAGCTGGCTCTTGTTCTGACACTCGGTTGCCACCTTCCCAGCCTGCTTCAAGACCCAGCAGTTATTGTTGGTGTGGTTGGCTGGTTTATCCACAGTGCCATGAATTTGGCAAGGCCTCTCGAGAATTTTGTCGAGTGCATGAGGGTTGTCCTTGTTCCCTTTAAAGGGTTTATTTTCTATCTAGCTTTTGCATTGCTGAACCCAGCATTTACCGCCGCGTCTTCGGCATCACTGGCGTTGTTTTTATGTCGGTGCTTATTTTTATTGCGCCTAGGCTTGCCATTTCCATCGCGCACATCCGAGGTGCTGGCTTCGCTGCCATGAGAGCTGCGAGTCAGCCAACTATCCTCGCCCGCGCAAAAGTGAGTCATCAAAGACGTGAGGGTCGACATGGTCCTCGGCTTGTCTTGTCTAAGTTGTCGCGCCAGCCATTCATCCCAGATACTATGTTGGAAGGCGGCGGTCGCTTTTGCATCAGGACAATCTACTATTTGGTTCTTCTTAGTTAAGAATCGATTCCAAAACTTCCTGGCTGACTCGTCGGGCTGCTGGATGATGTGGCTGAGGTCGTCGGCGTCCGAAGGTCGGGTGTAGGTGCCTTGGAAGTTTTCCCTAAAGGCGTCTTCGAGTTGCTTCCCACTTCCCATAGAGTTCTCGAGTAAGCTGTTGAGTCGATGCCTTGCTGATCCCTTGAGCTTCAGGGGAAGATATTTAATAGCGTGGAGATCATCCCCGCAGGCCACATGAATGTGGAGAAGGAAGTCTTCGATGCACATAGATGGGTTAGTTGTCCCATCGTTAGCTTCGATGTTCACGGGTTTAGACCCTTCTTGGAACTAGTGCTCCATGACCTCGTCTGTGAAGCATATCGGGTGAGCTAGCCCTAGAAAACAAGCCGTCTCATTCTGGGTATCAGTTGACATTCGGGTGTATGTTTGTTCCCTGGCCCTTCCATGCCTTTCTAATCAGGCTTGATAGTCATCCTGTCCAGCAGGTGCATGTTCTAGCGATCCATATATGCATCAAGTGGGAACGGGATTTGCGTTTAGCTGTGTCCGCAAGTCGAACATCCTGGAGATTATACAATGCATGGACCCTTTTGCTAGTCTTTATCTAATAATAAAGCACGGAGTACTTCTGCCCGTTCATCGTCATCTAAATTACCCTCGAAGTCCAATGCCACCCGTAAGTGAATAAAATGTTTTGATTTTTTTTTAGTTAAAGATGCGTGAGGTTTGGTTCTTTTGTAAAGTAAGACTCTAAAATACAACGAACACGCACGTACCGCAGTGGCTCATGCCTCCCTCCCGCATGATACCCAGATTCGATCCCTGATTCTATCAATTTGCTCTCCTTTTCTAGCAAGCATGCGCCTCCACCTCCAACGTTCATGGGCCAACCCATGAATGTGACGCCCTCTCTTTTTGGCCTTTTTTATTGTTTCTGTTTTTATTTTCCCTTCTTTAAATTAATTTAGGATTTCCCAAATTCCTAATTTTCAAAGAGTTACGAGGTTTGAAGAAACTGTTTGTGAAATCATAAAATGTTTGCGAATTCAAAAAATATTCAGAAAATCATAAAAAGTTCGGGATTCAAAAAATGTTGATGATTTCAAAAAAGTTGTCCCTATATTATAAAAGAACTAATGATTTTGAAAAATATATTCAAAACATATTTATTAATTTGAGAAAAAATCCATGAAAATTTATAGCATGTTCACAAAAATTTAAAAAAATCATCAATTTCAAGATTAGCTCCCCAATTTCAAAAATAGTTCATCGATTAGAAAAATGTTCACTAATACAAAAGTTGTTCATGAATTCGAAAACTGTTCGTTCATTTCACAAAATGTTTGTCTAAACAAAATAAATGTTCGTTAATTTCAAATTTTGTTCCCAAATTTCAACAATATGCTTGTCGATTCAAAAAACGGTTTGCTATGTCTTGAATTTAATTAGTTTTTGGTAAGTATTTATATGTCTAGGCGTTGGGAGTAGTTCGTGGTCAACGAAATTAGTTTAACATGGACACTGCGGCCATCAACGGCGAGGGTGAGAAATAATATAAGTGGCAACATCATGGGCTACCCTGTTAAAGTAGATGACGCTCATATCTCGGGGTATTGAGCCATATTATTTGGCTAGGAGATAATATTTTTGCCTCCGTTGCAACGCACGGGCATGTTGCTAATAATAAAGAGACTATTGCTTCTAGCGGTACGTCATAAAGTTGCCCTTAAAATTGCCACATATTACACTCAATGCCACCTATAAATGAAAAACGGCTCAGTTCACTACATCAGCCGTGGCCTTTGATTCATATACAAGTATTCCCTAATGAATCACAAGCATTTGATTCATATACAAGTATTCCCTAATGAATCACAAGCACATAGGTGTTCCACTGGCTAGACCCGCAATATACCATAGGGGAGACCTGGGTTTGATCCTTACTTTTGCCCATTTTTTGTTTCTGTTTTTTTCTCTCTGAATTCTTAGCAAATGGGCTCTATAATGTTGCAATTTGGGCCTAACAACTAATGTTTCTCAAACAATTTCAAAATATTCATATCTTTCAAACCCCAACTCCAAATCTAACATGTCATATATGAAAGTCCCTAGGAAAATTATGTAGATTCAAATATGCTATTATCTTGCATGTTAATCATTTCTAAAATTATGTTTAAGGTGCAAGTTTAATTAATACCTTCTTTTTATATAGGGTATTTTGGAAAGGCTCTCACAAATTATGTTTAAGGTGCAAGTTTAATTAATAATATATGCTCTCTACCCCATATAGTTGAGTATATATGTAGTTTCATGCTCTCACAAAAGATATTATTGCCACCATAGGGGATGGTTTTTTTGGATAGCCATAGAGGTTGTTGATTCCTACCGGATACCATATGCTAAAGGTTACAATACGTACAGAATCATCCTCACTGTTTCACAGTGCACGATAATCAACCCATATACAATGATGTCACTAAATTGTTAATACGAGCTTTATGTAAAGAAGTTGTTGGTTGTGTGGCATCGTGAACTGTTTCAAATTAATTTGTTGATGTCGTCGAGTATGTCTGAGGTGTGATTTTTTTTTCTTCCGTTTTAATGCACGGGCATGTTTGATAGCTCTTCGAGGTTCGGAGGTTGGGTGGTGGAAGGCATTGATGTGGCGTCGAGGCTTCTGTGGCGACGATGATGGGGCAAGTGAAGTCGGAGGCGTTGCGGTGGTTGCGGTAGTCGGCTCTTCTCCGACGTGTCTGTGGGATTACCTCGAGAGGTGGTTCGTTCAGTGGTCTTCCACGGCGCCAACCTGGCATAGTTCTTCTTTGGATCTCTCATTCTGAGTCAAAGCTACGCTGCCCTCGACACGGAGTTCTGGCACGGATCTTCGTGTGTTTCTGCACGGCCTCTGGGGTGAGAGTTTGGTCGGTGTTCGTCCACAGCAAAGTCGGAGTCGCTTGCTCGGTGATTAAGGATGGCGACGACGCCTGCTAGGGAAGAAGTGATGACGATGACGCATGTGTGCTAGCTCGGCGAGATACTCTTTGTAAAGGTGTGTGTGGGGCATTTGTGTGTGCCGCTCAGCGGTTTGTAGGGGAACGGTTTGTGACGGTTTTCCCCCAATTCCCTGGTCAATTCTCTCCTACTTAATTAATGGATGAGGCGACGGTTTTCCCCCAATTCCCTGGTCAATTCTCTCCTACTTAATTAATGGATGAGGCAAATCTTTTGCCTCTGTTTCAAAAAATATATATCAACAGCAAAATAAAAGTATTCACAGAATTTCTTTTAAAAAATTGAAACTTCAAAATGGCGGTTTCTACCTGAAACTTCGGACTTGGAGACAAGCCTGTTATTAGACAAAAGCATATTATCACTACATATTTAATTCGGCACAGGCATACATTCCCCTTGACATTTGGATCGGGTACATAAGCAAAGGCACGGAAGTGCCCAATTCCTCCAGAGTTCACTAGCATTGGCGACCTAGCTAAACATATTCACCATATGATTGGTGGCTAAAAATGATCGACTCAGGCAGCTACATCAAGAAGGCGATTGTCTCCGTGATGATGCTTGCCTTGATGATGCTTGCCTCGTGGGAAATTTGAAAGGAGCGAAACGCTAGAGTTTTTCGCAACACGGCTACCCCGACTTCCATTGTTGTTGCCAAGATCAAAGAGGAAGCCCATCTTTGGGCACTGACGAGTACTCTTTTTCTTTTTGCCGCTCTACAGCTTATGTCTAGACCTTCTCCTTAATTAATGAAAATGGCAAGTCTTTTGCCTCGTTTCAAAAAGAAAGACGTTATTTATACAACAAGCGGCATACTGGCCTAGCCTGTGTTCTGCATGCCAGCAGCAATGCCCTTCATAGTCAGGATGAGGGTGTCCTCCAGGCCTGGGGCATACTCGCTCCCACGGTTCAGTTGCACCAGCTCGGCGGGCTCCTTGTCGCAGAACTCCTTGGACAGGGGAGGCTGTTGTGGCGTCACCTCAAAGCTGGGGTCTCTTATCCGCTTCAGGGTGTAGGCTTGGCAAACATTCAAGGTTGTGATGTAGGACTCACGCAACCGCAGACGCTGCTTTAGGTAAGGATCCCCTTCAAGAACGTCCTTGTGACCAGCAACCTGGACAAATCAACAATGGTTAGAAGAGCCATGCGCGGAGATTCTGGTAATTATTTTTATTATGTCTGATATGTATAGGTCAGTACATTTTGAACAAATCATTCAACTAATCATTTTATCTACTTCTGAAATGGCACCAGCCAAATTCAACTAACCATGTAAAAGGCTTAATGACCAATTACGTACACATCCGAGTTGTTTTGGACACTGAAAGTCTCTAAGGTTGCATCTTGACCATCAGTTTTATGAAAGATAGGTTTCCTTAAATGAGCCTACGTACACATTACGGAAGTATATTTCAGGATGGACCTAGTAATAGTATTATCAAGTTACGTGCTGTTAGCACTTTACCTGAAGGAGTAACTGTTTTGTCTCTTCAAAGTTTTGTCTCAACTGTTCCCCAAAGGACTGCAGATCTTCAGCCACAAGCAATTTGTCATATAAAGCAGCAATTCCTGGATCTCCCTTGGCAAAAACCATCTCAAGTAAGTCAAGGGTGACCCTGAAGAATGGCCACTCATTGTACATTTCTTTCAGAGTATGGATGTTCCTGATGTCCTTCTGAATGATATGTTTAAATGCTGCACCAAACCCAAGCCATACAGGAAGATGAAACCTTGTCTGTGTCCAAGCAAAGATCCATGGAATTGCACGGAGTGATTCTATGCCCCCACTAGGCTTTCTCTTCGATGGCCGGCTGCCAATATTCATCCGACCATATTCAGTCTCAGGTGTTGCCTGAAACAATGGATGCACAAGTTAGTACAAATTAGATCTTGATCTCCACCAAGTTCAAACCCTGCTTCAGTCAGCACTATGATATAATTCAGTGACATTTACATTGTTGATATGTCAACCATACGGTCGTTTAGTACAAGTCAATGCTCACAATTTAGAGAGTGCACATGTCTAAAAATAATGCGAAATAAATCAAAACTAACAGTCCACATAGCAATGGGAAATGAGCATAATCCCTAGGTTGGTATTTGCTCTCTTGAAGAATCTGAACAGTAGTTTTTGTGCTCTATGCGAAGCCGTTTAGTGCCATACCCTAGATGGCTAAAGTCCAGTAGCCGAAAGCATCACTAGCTTGCGCTCTGACCAAAGGCAGGCTTTAGGTACGCTTTAGTTTGAAATCACTAAATATATGCTCAACCTAGTTTATGTCCATGGTACAATCGTGCATACCTTCTACTATCAACCAGATGAGATAGGGCTTTGATAGGTCAGAGTCAGTCTCCCATAAGACTCTAATTCTAGGTTCCGCCTAATTTTCCTATAATCAACCAGAAAGCCATGGCATACACGCTCAAAAACAACAAAACCACCTTTTAGCATGCAGCTTTGTAGAAACGTTGACTTCATGCTCATGCTAACTGCAAGGTATATGATAAAAGCATTGGATACAGGTGAACGTACCGAGCGGAAGTATTCAACAAAGCGTGGTTCTTGGAAGACTATTGATCGATACTCTTTTGTTGCCACAACAGCCATCTCATCCATTAGAGCACGCCATTCTGGCTTGGGTGAAATTGGGGGATGCATTCCATGCTCGAGAGTAGCTGCAGTGAAGCGCTGCAGAGTTCTAAAGCACAAGTGTTCCTCTCCAAACGAGTGCTCTATGACCTCGCCTTGAACCGTTACACGGAGTGATCCATGTATTGTGTCTGGTGGTTGAGATAATATGGCAAGATGACTGGGACCCCCTCCTCTGCCAACCGTTCCACCTCTTCCATGAAACATTGTCAACTTTACTCCGTAATGCTTTGCAACCTTTATGAGCTCTTCCTGTGCTTTATACATTTGCCACGCTGCAGAGAGACGCCCAGCGTCCTTGCCAGAGTCTGAGTATCCAATCATGACCTCCTGTTTGCCATTGATCCTATCCATATACCAGTCTACTGAAAATAGGCGTGCAACCGCTGCTGGAGCGGCTTCAAGATCTGCAAGCTTCTCAAATAGTGGAACAACTCTCAATGGCTTTTTTATATGGCACTCACGCTGTAAAAGCTCAACAGCAAGCACATCGGATGGGGCAGTTGCCATTGAGATGATATAAGCACCAAAACAATCTGCTGGAAGCTCAGCAAGGATATGAAATGTGCCTAAAACATCAGCAACTTCTTCAGTCTGAGGAAGATCTGAACCGAACAATGGGCGTTTGCCCCTTAGTTCGGACAACAGCCACTCCTGGCGTTTCTCCTCAGACCATTCAGCGTAGGATCCGATCCCAAGATGTGTTGTTATAGTATCAAGGACATCAGTGTGTCGATCAGATTCCTGCCTGATATCAAGTTTCACAAGAGCAAGCCCAAAAGTTGATACTTGACGCAAGAAATCAAGAAGGCTTCCATCAGCTATAGGTTTGTCACCACAAGCACACAAAGATCTGTAGCATAGCTCAAGAGGCTCGAGAAACTGCAACATAGGAGAACAATTAGACAACTAATGGCGGCAACCTTCACGAAGAAGTCACATCTGATGATAAGAGCTCACCATCTCGACATTAGTAAAAGTAGACTCCTCAGGAATGTCAGAAACTCCAGTTGTCAATATATGGCGAGAACGTTCGCGCGTATAATACAATTTATCCCTGACATCACCGAGTATGACACGATAAGGTTCATTTGAAGGAACTTGCTTCCAGAACTCTGCAGCAAAGACATTTCTTAATAATAGGCAGTTCAGCAAGCAAATTATTCTTCACAAGGAAAGGAGTAAAATCAAGCGGTTTACGCGACTACAAATTATTTTCGGTGCCAAGAAAAAAATAGCCATGACTACAAGATATAATTATTGAAGTATTCTCTGAGACCATGATATAATCTATACAAGTTAAAGTATATATAGTCTAAGTTAACCATGTCTTCTTTTTGTGGCCATATAGCATGGACCTGCATACGCATGAGGATATCAATCAAACCAGACAGCAGTATGTCGGCGTTCTGGAAACCAGGGTACCCAGACTTGCCTGCCTGCGGCCCATGGCGTGGCTCCTTCGACGGCCTGGTACGGCCCACCTCCAAAACCATCAAGACAAGACCCTCGCGAGAGGCCAAGCCTCGCGAGGCGGACGACACCAAGACCTCCCAAGGGAGCGGCCTCCCAAGGAGCGGAGATTTCTATGCAGGTAACCAGCCTCATGAGGCTACGATGACGCAAGCCATGACCACCAAGGCAGGCGGGCGCCAGTGGGCGCAGAAGAGGCAGTTTTCTTTTTGGTGCAAAGGAGGTAAGGACAGGCATGGGTTCCGAGGAATCTGGCAAATGTTTCCATTCCGGTGCAACAAGACCAAGACCGCCAGCACGGCAGGACGGATGTCTTCGCCGAGCCCACCGTTGCGTCACGACCAGAAGCTTTGCAGGCGAAGACCACCATTCGTCAGGATAAGATGTACTACTTGTCCCATTTCAAATTGGCCACTGTGGGATCCCTTCCCGCCTACTTGGGGGAAGAGGATCAAGGCCACTATAAATATAGGTTAGCCACCACCGTAGAAGGGGTCGACTCATTCCTCACCCCTGAACCTCGCGAAGTTGTTCTCCCTTGTACCAGTTCATCCTCAGCCCCTCGAGAGGCTAATCCTAAACTGCCGTGTTCATCTTCTTCCTTGCCCACGTGAACCGGGCTAGGCTGTGGGGCGATGAGCTGGTAGGCTGGATAGGTTGAGTTCTTCGCACACGCCCCAGAGTTCGAACCTTTCTTGGGTTTGTGGAGCCCTGAATCCGACATTCCGACATTTGGCGCGCCAGGTAGGGGCATGTCGAAGTCCTTCCACCGTTCGTTCCGCCTCCGTTCCGTCGCACCCATGGCCGACGCTCGCCGTGTCCATGCCGAGCACCAGGCCACTCGTGTCGCCCAGACGGCAGCCGTGGGCAACGGCGCTCCTCGCCGCTCCGCCTCCCCGATGGCTAACGCTGCCACTGACCCTGCTGCTCGTGAGCAGCAGGATTCGTCGCTGCCGCCTTCCGTGCGGCGTGATGGACGCACCGCAACTCCATCACCCACTCCGGCCACGGCATCTGTCATCTCATGCTCGTCGCGTGCCGGCAAACGCGCAGGCCTCACTGTTCATGGCACGGGAGCTCTTGCATTACCGCCCGGCCAATGATCTCTACGACGACTGGCTCGGCCGCATCGTTGAGCTCGTCAACACCGCCGGTGAGGCCCCTGCACCGTCCGTTCGTCCCGTCCCCCGCCGTCTCAGGCGGGCGATGTGGCTCACGGCGCGCCTCCTCTTCTGCGCAGCGCTGACCCCGTGCCCAGGCGTTAGGCGCCCCAACGCAACCCGCCGCGCGACGAAGCTGTGAGGTGGTGCAGCGGCCCCAAGGAGAAGCGCACGCGCTTCCCGCGCCGCCGCGTCAAGACCGCGTGCCACCGAAAGTGATGGCGCGCGGGCGCCAAGACCAAGCTCCACCCACGCGACCGGCACCTGTGAGTGCGGCAGGCTGTCATGCTCTCACCCCGGAGCTGCGCCGTGTCGTTTGGCCCGGCAAGTTCAAGCCGGATCTGCCTCCACACTACGACAGCACCCCCGACCCCGCAGAATTTCTCCAGCTCTACGAACTGAGCATCGAAGCAGCGAACGGCAACGACAAGGTCATGGCGAACTGGTTCCCCATGGCCCTCAAGGACGGCGCGCGTTTTTGGCTCCTGAACCTTCCGGTGGGGTCGATTTCTTCCTAGGACGAGCTTCGTGAGCGCTTCATCGCCAACTTCCAGGGTAGTCGTGACCGCGCTCCTGAAGTATGTGACCTGCGGCGCGTGAAGCAGCAGCCGGGCGAGATCTTGCACAAGTACATACAGCGCTTCACGAACGTTCGCCTCAAGACCCTCATCGATGTGGCGCGGGGCTCAACGTTCTCTACGTCGAGACGTTTGAAACGCTCCAAGTGCCCTACGACCAGCTTCTGCCCACCAAGCCTTTCTCAGGAGTCACCGATGGCTCCACCGTTCCCCTGGGGCAGGTACGCCTCCCAGTCACCTTCAGCAAGCGCGACAACTACCACACCGAGCTCGTCGACTTCGACGTCGCCCACATCGGCCTCCCATACAATGCCATCCTCGGGTATCCGGCCCTCGCCAAGTTCATGGCAGCAACTCACCACGGCTACAATGTCCTCAAGATGCCAGGAAGTAGCAGCAGCATCACGGTCGCTTGCGACGAAAAGGATGCGGTGTGCTCCCTATCAGCGCCCTGGCGTCCACGTCTGAGGTCATCTTCCTCAGGACGGGCGCCGCCCGGGGGTCGGAAAATTTCTCGTTGCTCCACCTCTCGAGCCGTTTGGGCAGCGCGGTCGACAGCTCCAACCGCTCGTTGAGGCCCTGGGTATCCACGAAGATCCAACGGCGTCGGAAGTTTTCCACCTTCCCAGCCCTCATGAGCACGTTGTTCTTGTGAACCGCGACGAAGGACACGCAGCCGGAGCGCTAGGTTGGATTGTGCAGCCACAGAGAGAAGAAGTGCCGGAGGAGGGGCATGGAGGGCCTCACGCCCACAAAGGCCTCGCAATAGAAGGCGAAGATGGACAGGAGGAGGATGGAGAGGGGCTGGAAATGCAGGGCCTAGCCCTGGTAGTGGTCAAGGACGGCGATGAAGAACTCGGAAAGAGGGGGCACGAGCCCGCGAAGATGTTGTGGGGGAATAAGGGGTAAACTGTGCGCGCCAGAGTCCGCTGCTCGGCGGAGCCGGCCCAGATTACGGTCTCCTTCCACTCGTTCTCGTCGCCCGCCGTGTATGGGAGCACGAGGGCAAGGTGCCCCTCCTCGGTGATGGAGGACGCGTTAAGTGCAGGCGCAGGAGAGGAGGACGAGCTTGCAGCGTGCGCCACGGGCTGCCACTTCTTGGGAGCCATCAGCGGGGTCACCAGCGCCGGAGTTGGAGAAGGAAGGGGGGCCGAGCTCGATTGGATCTGGAGATGTCCTTGGTGGAGGAAAGGGGATCTGAGGCGAGGCAAGGAGTAATGATGGCCTGGCGGGGTGAGCCAGCCTTTTGTCAGCCCAGACAGTTGCCGAGGCGACGTAGGGGAGCGGAGGCGTCCGCGTCCTGCCGAGCGCCACGTGTCAGCCTAGCCCGCAGGCGATTGGGACCCGTGGCACTTCGCCCTTGTCCCTTGGCTTCACCTCGAAGCCAAGTCCGAGCGCGCCTTGGGCCCGGGGGCTACTGTCAGCATTCTGGGAATCAGGGTACCCAGACTTGCCTGCCTGCGGCCCATGGCGTGGCTCCTTCAACGGCCTGGTACGGCCCACCTCCAAGACCATCAAGACAAGACCCACGTGAGGGGGGAGGGGCCAAGCCGCCCCTCGCGAGGCGGACGACACCAAGACCTCCCAAGGGAGCCGAGATTTCTATGCAGGTACCCAGCCTCATGAGGCTATGATGACGCAAGCCATGACGACCAAGGCAAGCGAGCGCCAACAGGCGCAGAAGAGGCAGTTTTCTCTTTGGTGCAAAGGAGGCAAGGACAGGCGTGGGTTCCCGAGGAATCTGGCGAAGGTTTTCATTCCGGTGCAACAAGACCAAGACCGCCAGCACTGCAGGACGGATGTCATCGCCGAGCCCACTGTTGTGTCACGACCAGAAGCTTTGCAGGCGAAGACCACCTTTCGTCAGGATAAGTGTACTAGTCCCCTTTCAAATTGGCCCCTGTGGGATCCCTTCCCGCCTACATTTTGGGGGAAGAGGACCGAGGCCACTAAAATATAGGTTAGCCACTACCGTAGAAGGGGTCGACTCATTCCTCACCCCTGAACCTCGCGAGGTTGTTCCTCCCTTGTACCAGTTCATCATTAGCCCCTCGAGAGGCTAATCCACCACAAAGCAGGAGTAGGGTCTTACACCGCAAGGTGGCCCGAACCTGGGTAAACTGTCGTGTTCATCTTCTTCCTTGCTCACGCGAATCGGGCTAGGTTGTGGGGCGACGAGCTGGTAGGCTAGATAGGTTGAGCTCTTCGCATACACCCCAGAGTTCGAACCTTTCTTGGGTCTGCGGAGCCCTGAATCTGACACAGTAATCAGCTAGGTGTAGATTGAGGAGAGGGAAAATATCTATAAGACTATAAGTTATGAAATATATTAGATTAGTTGTTTAGATAGAGATAGATATTTTTTTTATTTGAGAATAGATAGATATAGAATTGATCATCTTTGAATTAGACATCACCTTCCTTAGCTATAAGAAAAGCTTCTTAGAGGTCAATTCGGACATGTAGCAAGCCTCAGAGTCTCTCTAACCAACCAATGGATATTAGGCCTTGAGAGCAAGTGCCCCTATTATTCAAACCCTATCCAAAATATTTCTGTTTTCAATGGTTCATAACTGTTGAACTGGTTTATGGGCCTGGCCCATCTCCACTCTAGCCCAAGCCCAAGTGAGGGGCTGACCCAAGAAAGGAGGAACCAGACGCTGTCTTGGAGTAAG